CAGCTCCACCCTCAGCAGTGACTGTGATGGTTTGAGCAGCCAGATGCTGGGTGGGCCCAGGCTGGGGGTGATGGGGGGATCTTTAGAGCAGTCCGTCCTGGCACCCTGCCCTGTAAGTCCTTGGGGCTGGGAAGCCAGACCTGACCTTCTTTGTTTCAAGCGGCACTCTGCGGGGACTAGGTTGTTCCTTGTGAGCTGTCTGGAGCAGACAGGAATGTGTGGCCAGAGAAGTCTTTATCTGCATTCCAAATGTGGCCTTGCACACCCCAAGCCCGCACACAGTCACACAGACACATGCACGGGCTCCTGGTGCCGTCACCAGCTCTGAGAGGGTCGCAGCCTGGTGACCATATGTCCCAGCCTCTTTTCTAGGCCTACGTGAGAACAAGGGGGTATCAAGCCCCCTTTCCCCCGCCCCCAAGAGGGGCTCCTCTGGCTGTCCTCCTGCGGCCGGGGCTGCCTGCCGGGGTGCAGGGAAGTCCGCTGGCGCCAGCTGTCCAGGTCACGCTAGTCCTGGGAATGTCTGTAGTTGATGGTGGCTTCCTTCCACCCCAGGCTGGGCTGATGGCCCCTTTTTCACACTGTCTGGTCACTGGACTGGAACAGAAATGCCTTATTAGCTGATCAATCTCCCAGACAGCACCAAAGGGTGGGAAAAGATCTATAAAACTTTGCCCTTGAATAGTCCCAAGCAGCCTCTCCTCCCTTCCACCTTGTAAACCTCCAGGGCCCAGCCAGGGAGGGCTGAGGTCATTGTCTGCGAGGGAGGCGGCCTGGGGGGTGAAGAGTTCATGCCCCCCTCACTGAGCCTGGCCTGGGAGACCGCCCTGGGAGGTCCAGGCAGCCTTTCTCCCCCAGGCCCCATCCTCCCCCAGCCTCTCAGGTGTCTCAGACCCCGCCTCAGGGGAGGAGGATCTAAGAGCTCTAGGCTCAGCTTTTGCTCCTATGGAGTGCTTGCCATGGCCCAACCGTGCACAGAGGAACGCAGGCGGCCGTTCAGCCCAAGGTACCCTGGGAGGGAGTGTTCCAAGGGACCATCCAGCCGCAAAGCTGCTGGCCAAGCACCAGGAGCAGCACCCTCCTTCCTGGGAATGGGGTGTGGCGGCCAGTCCAGGCCACAGCCCTGCACTGTGGTCCCAGGAGCTGTGCTGGAGCACCCCGCACTCTTCTGCCGGGCCTTGCCCTGTGGACGCGCTGGGAACCTCACCCACCACCCACCGCCAAGTCCTCCTGCCGGGCTGGCACCATCTGCAGAATGAGGAGGTGGTTGGCCTGGAACCCGAAGCTCTAGCAGATAAGTCCCTTGCACACAAATCCCCCAGCTCAGCTTTCAGCTGCTCAGTGGGTCACAGCAGCTTCTGCCGAGGCTGACCATGGCAACGGGCCCACCCCATGGCCTCCCCCTGGCCAGCCCCACACAGGCCGCTCACTGTGTCGAGGCTGAACCTGGCCGGTCAGGAGACCAAGCTGGGTGTACGGGACGTGTCCAGACTTCCTTTAGGGCTTTTCTCCTCATCGTAAAGGGGTGGTTTAATTGTAGGTTCCTGTACTTGGGGCCTCTCTCTGCACCTCAGGCAAGATCACCTTGCTTGGGATGTAGACTATTATTTCTATGTTTTGATTTGAAATTCCAATAAAAATAAATGCCTCAAAATCTTTTAATCCTCAAATAGAGGCCGAGATGGAGAGGAACCATCTCCGCCCCCACCCCATTTCCTGCCCTGGTTCGGCCGGAATTCCTAACACTTCTGCCCTGGCTGTGTCGCCCAGGTCCCCAGGTGACGGGGTCCCACAGGTGACGGTGAGCCTGCAGCCGGGTGAACACAGAGCACACTCACTGCCGCTGCCTCCCCATGTGGGGGGACCCCGGGGTCCCTCAGAGGCCCGGCTGCCTCCCCTCTCGGTAGGCGCGGGAGGGCGCAGCTGTGTTAGGCACGCTGGGAGCAGCAGCAGCAGACGCTGGTCCCAGACCCTGGGCCTCTGCAGGAGATGCCTTTGCTGCTGCGCGACAGAGTCCTCCTGCAAGTCTGCCTGTGTGCGAGTGGGGAGCAGGTCCATTTCCCCAGCCTCAGCGGGAAGGGCTGGACCCGGCAGCCCTTTGTTCTCCTGGGGGAGGACAGTCGCTTGGCAATTAACCCATTAACTTGCTCAAAGGAAAGACTGCCCCTCTTTTAGTAAATCTGGCAAACCCAGCTAAGCTAAAGTGCCAACAGTTCTGTGCCTGACTGCTGTGGGCCACATGGCTACCCCGGCTGGTGCTGGCATCTGCGCCCCTCCCAGCCTCAGGACATGGCCGCGGGCTCCCCATACCATGGGCGCTCACAGGAGAGAACACAACCCCCGTGGGCGCGGCTTCAGGTCTGACAGATCCCGCCTGGGCAGCCCCCACGGCTGAATGCCGGCTGCTCACAACAGCGGCTCAGCGTCAGTCTTAGACACAGCTCAAGGAAGCCCTAGGGGACAGGCAGAGGAGCTGGTGTTTCTCACCTCCAACTACACCAGGAGACACGGTGTTTGCGGGCCTCCTCCTGTCCTGGGTCCCTCTGCTCCTGGAAGCATCTTGTTGGTAAAACAGGTTTGTTTCTATCGGTTTATTTTATACTCTGCCCGGGGGAGCGGAGGCAGCTGATATCTTCACATCTGCTTACCCTAGATGGGGCCAGCCCGCGGCTGTGGGCGGGTGGGGGGCAGGCACCACTAAAGGGAGCCAGAAAGTGGCGGAGAAATTGTGCCAACAAGTGTGCCTGACTCCTAAAGCAGACAGGTCTCTGCACCTTCCCTGTGGTGACTGGACTGCAGAGTCAAGTTTCCATGCTGTCCAACGCAGGCCCGTCCTCACATCACCCTGGATTAGGAGTGGAGACTGCCCCCATGGACCTCTCACACCTTGGCTGCTGGGTGACTAGATGTCCTTGAGGAGTGTGGGACAGAGGCATCAGCAGGTTCGTTACACCCTGAGAGGTATCGTGGGAAGGAAAACCCTGAGCCACGTGGACTCGCGTGCAAGTCCTGCCTGTCACTCAGCACGTGAACCGTCCAGGCCGGATCCACAGCGGTACCTGGGTTCCTTGGCACACCCACACCCTTCTCTCCCAGACAGCTGGTCTTCTGCTACCCAGACTCCTGTGCCTCTGAAAGTACCCTGCTCAGACCAAGCCATCTCTTCCAAGGTGCCACGGTCATCTCGATAAAGCAACCCACTGGGACGCAGCACGCTTTCCAACTGCAGTCCTGTCGTGCTGCCCTCCCCGACCCATGTGAGCTGGTTACCAACGTGACACTTCTTTTTCCAACCAAACGAATCATTTAGAAATGGAGAGGCTGGTCCTGTGTCTCCTTCCTGACCCCGCGACCTGACTGGCTGCCATTCTGCAATCCAGAGGCCTCTCTGAACTTTCCCTCAGGACATGCTAGAGGAGCAGGCACAGGTGGAGGTCAGTGGTGTCATCAGAGCCACAGAGAGCCTGGCTACTGGACTTGGCAGCCCAGGCCACTCTCCTGCATCCTCCCGCATCTGCGGGAACAGCACCTGGCGTCAGTAGGGCGCTCCCAGGTCTGGAGGCAGTGAAGGCCAACTCAGCCCGCAGGGCCTTGGCCAAAGCGGTGACACTGGTGTCCAGTTCTGATGAGCTGCCCACTGGCCAGAACCCAAGTGGCCGAAGCAAGTTGTAGGACCTGGTGAATCGCGGGAGCAAGGGGATTAGTGGTCTTTGTGCAAAATCCCACCTACTCAGCAGTTCAGCTCTGCCTTAGTGGTTTTCAAAGAAGACAAAGCATGGCTTTAACTTTTGGAAAAACAAGACCACACCAAACCACTGGGCCGGTTGGCTGCCCGCAGCTCTCTGGAGGTCGGAGGTGCCTCTGCACACGGGGGGAAGCTCCCAGGGTGGCGCGGTCTGTGCTCCCAGGGCCTTTCCTGCTCCACTTCAGAGAGAGCCAGACACAGGAGGGCCAGAGGGAGAAAGCATCGCTTATTCTAAGTCATCACAGAAAGCAGCCTTTGTATAGTTATCCTAATTTATCAAATTTTTATTCTTCTTTCAATATGGTATATAAAGCACATATAATCATATGCAAAGCACACGCAACAAGCAAATCCCTAGGAAACCTAAAATGACAGTCACTGGTACAACAGAGTTCTGAAGAAGATCCCTGTTAGAGCTTCGTTTCACCCCAAACAGGCTGGAACACAGCGAGCCGCTGGCGCCAGGCGGGAGAAACTGTCGGTGTCTCAAAGTTTGTTCTTCTCCTTCAGCTCAGCCTGTGTAGAACATGCTGCAGCCAGTACTGTGGTCATCTCTGGGCATTTTAAACCATCCTTCCCTGTGACAGTACCAGGAAGCTGTTTTAAGCTTCTGTCTTTTAACTCTAAACATTTGTGGGAAAGAAAAATGGCACTGCCACAGACTCCCACGGTGCCTGAATGTGCCTGAGATGCCACATTTTGGAAAAAGAGTGCGTACCCTGCACCCAGCCCGGCCGATGTCAGCACTGCCTTCCTTCAGAGCTGCATGGAAACCAGTGAGGCGGGAAGGAGCGCCACGATGTGGAGAATACCTTTCTTGTACAGACTTTCTTATTTTTCAACAGTACCAAACTCAGAAGCAGACAGGAATACAAAAAATCAAATCCGTATTTTATTATTAATATATCTTATTTTCTTACAAAAAGGTACTAAAATTTTGGAAAATCTATATATTGGTTATATCAATCAAAATAAGTCTGCAGAATCTTTCAGAAATGACCCGGAGGACATCGAATGCTGTTCACTGGTCCCAGTATACAAAAGCTGTGTGACTTTCTGGAATTACAGAAATAACCACATGCAGCCACAGGCTGAGGGGGCTGAGGCAAAGTGTTCGGCAGAGTTTTCAGCGTCTCTCAGATATCTTTAATCATTTGTGGGGAAGAACTGCCTGAGAGTCACAGGACAGCTGCAATTCAGATTCACCATGGTCAGGTGGCACCTCTGAGACTGGGGACAAAGGCCACTGTGCAGCCCTGGTGGGAGAGACGGTGTTTACGAGGATTTGCCCTTTGTATGTGCCCAGTTGGGACCAGCCTCTGGGCAAGAGAAGCACCAAGACATGAACACTGCTGTCGGCTGATGACTTTAGCAGCCACATAATCCTCTCTTTGATGTCCAGGGTCAGTGTGAGCCTGGTCCCACCGGGCTAGGAGACGTATGAAAGAGAATCTCGCTGTGATCTTTCCTGCAAAGGAAACAGCAATAAAATTTATGGCCCAGTCACAAGAGAGGAATTCTTGTAAACGAGGACGTCTGTGAGCCTTTGCTCTCCACTATAAAGAGAGGACTTCCATCGGAGGACAGGGATGAGACCCGGGCCACACTCACAACCCTGGGAATGGGGTTCACAGCTGAACCATGGGACGGTCACTTTGCTCACACATGGTCATGAAACCCACCAGGCCGTAACTTAGGCTTCACTTACAAGAAGATACTGGAAGGAGATCCTGTTTCAGATCCCCCTTCACTCTAACTGATTTCGTAAAGTCTAAATCTATACGATGAGAGGTGGGCCCTGCCGCCGTCACACGTGCGGGGCAAACACCGCGCTCCGGCGCTAACCCCATCTTGCCTTTAACAGTGGGAGCTCGTTCCTTTCGTATCAGCAAAGTTTTATGATTCTACAAACCCCCACACCGCAGGAGCACATACAGATGGACGCCACTGCCGCTGGCCGCCGTGTCTGTGGTGGGTGCTCAGGCCTGTCTTCGGTGGGCGGGAGGCCCAGCTCTCCCGAGCCTCGGGCACTTACGGACAGGAAGGCTTTTTGCTCAAGGGCTCGACTCCTGTTCCTGCTGAACTGAGCCAGTGTGTAAAATGAGAACTGATATCAGCTCAGTAGGCACCGGAGGGCGGGTCCAATCGACAGCCGGAGAAGCAGTGCCTCCGCCGGGAGCGTTGCGCAGCACCGGCTGCTGGTGGCTGCAGAACGCAGAGACCTGGGCTGCAAATACAAGAGAGAGTTCACCGCGCTCGGGAAATGACAACAAGGAGTCTCCTGGGAAAGCACAGCACCCTCCGCACAAGCAATCAGCCACGACATGCTTTTACCCGACTGATGATGCATTTGGTTTTAGTTTTCGTAAGAATAATTTTTTGCAACTTTCGATACATATGACCTTTCAGACAGACATCTGATGAGTGGATTTATGTCTCTGTAAGCAAACTTAAGGACCACAGGTACAGCGCTTGTATTCTTGACAGGAGACAGTGCGTCCTCGGGGCCAAGTGGTCTTTCGTCCTCCAGAGTCAGCTCTGCGCAAGCCGACACTCGGCAGCAGCCAGCCCCGTCAGCAACGGCCTCTGCCCCAGCGGCTCCAACTTAACTGCCCCATCTCACCTTCTCTTCAGGTGCAGAACTTAGCCACTGTGAACAAAGCGGAAACCAATCACTGTTCACCAATCAGCTAAGCTCTGCACCTTGTTAGAGAGGTCATCGCTGGGCATAAAGAAAGAGCCGGTGAGCATCTTCTGCGGTTGTTGGTTTCTTTTGTTTCCAAAGAAGAGCTATGAGAGGCATCTGTTCTCCAGACTGCAGAGAGTGACTATGGTTTCTGGAGGAGCAGCCAAGGTCGTGGCTGCGTGGTAATCCCTGGCAATGTGATTTTAATCTTAAGTCACAAATCAGCATGCCAGGAACCCAAGCAGCCAGAGCACCCGAGAGCAGCGCCGTGCCCTGCCGGCCGCTCCCATCTGCACACACCGGGCTTCCGCGGAAGGACGCAGGGCGATGACACCGCCTCCGAGCCTGCTATGCTAGCAAATGGATTGCATTTCTGTGTGCTGTTCATTTAGACAGCATCCTAGAAGTAGAATTTTTTCAATCGAAAGGACTTGGAGACGACCATAAAAATGCCAGTGCAGCTTTGGAACAGGAGAAGAAAAATGCGTGGACCAGCCATGTGACAGAATTATTGAAGGAGGCTACCCTTGCTCTTCGTTTACTGCCTTTAACCCTGGGGACAAGATCCTGCCCCCCACACGGATTCTAAATGGTCTGGGAAGTCGTGGGGGCCTCTCTCAAGCTGGGAGGGGTTTCCCTGTGTGACTCAGGAGTGGCCCTGGTCACTGTTCATCACTGGGGTGGGGGTCTGGGGTGCTCGTGACCCTTGCTTCACCTAGAAGGGCAGGGACAGGAACAAAGATCTCAGAGAGAGGTAAGGAAATGGCAGTCTTGTGACCAAGACCACTCCTCCGCCTGCTTCAGGGCAAAAAAATTACAATGAAGAGTCACAAGAGCTGTGTCACCTGCTATGGTTCTCCAAAATTTGGAAAAGGAATAATCAAAGGAAAAGTTTGCCTTACTGTAGCTTCACACTCTTCAAATACACACACTCTCCATGAAAGTAAAAATCTAAAGCAAAACATGATTTATATACTGATTACCATGAGGCTGGCAACAAGGTAACCGTGAGACTATTTCTGGTTTTTAAATTGGCCCATCTTTAAGGACTGTCTGAAACCACCTAAAGGGGGCGTGTGGGGAACGTCTGCGTGCAGCTGTGTCCCGATTTTTCCTTCTCCTGGCAAACACAGCTCCTGACTCTTCTGGAAGAACATGACCATACTTTAGAAAAACTTTCGTTTTTCTCTTCAGTATTAGAGTTCTTTCAGATCAATAAGATACTTAAACATATCAGACATAAATGGTTTTTATAAGAGCAAAACGCTAGAAGCAACCTGAATGTCTAACACTGGGCTAACGAGAATATCAACACAAAATATTCAACATCCACTAAAAATTATATTTGTAGAGAAGCTATGTAACAACATGAAAAATGCTTGAGATTTGATGCTAAATTACAAAAAAGATACAAAATTACACATACCCTATTGTATCATGTAAAACCTTGAGGAAAAACTGAGAAGACACAGAAATGATGACTATTAGGGAAAAAAAATACACTTAGAATCCCACAGTTTCTACTTAGCAAAACTTTATGTACCACTGCTAAATTACAGTAATAGTGGAGAAACCCACATTTAAAAATCAACTGCTAGGAAGTAAATCTAACAGGTTAATTCGAGGCACAATTAACAGAGGAAGCAATGTAAATAATCCAGGATTCTCACTCCAATGTAAGCCAGGGGAGACATTCTGCTCCAACACAGCAAGGTTAAAAACAAGACCTGCCCTCAAGACACAGGAGCAGGTGTGTGGCGCGTGTGGCTGGGAAGACCTCCTGCCAGCCTCGAGGGTCGGGCGCAGGCAACCTGAGGAACCCCAAGTTCACACACAGCCTAGGAGGAGAAAACGCCTGCACCAGCAGCTAGGATTTGGAGTGACGCGGCCACCTGCTCCTGTGCCAGCCTTAACCTTGAAGACTACGGATTAGCACCTGCACTGGGTTCCCCACCCCATCTCTAAACCTGCTCACAATGTTCTCCCACAATTTCTGTTCCTATACGTATTATAAAACCCAAAGTGGCTAAAATGGTGCCAAGGAGAGTTGTTCTGCCTCCAGGTGACAGCCTGTTTCCCAGGGACCGCAGTGCCCACACAGGACGGTCCAGGACCTGGGGCCTTCATGCCACCACAGGCACTGACTCTGCCTGCTCTCCAAGGCCACCAGCCACCTGGAGAGGGAACAGACCACTGATGCTGCGGGTGGTCTTGGCTTATTGGTTTATTTGGCTGGCACCTAAGAGGCATATCTGGTTAGAACCAAATAACAGAAAAGAAAGGGAGAGAATCACCTCTTTAAAATAACATTTCGGCCACCACCTTGGCTGAGGATCTGTCCATCTGTCCCTTGGCCAGCTCAAAGCACCTGTGGGCAAGCTGCTGCTGCCTGGCGTCCTCGCTCACCATCAGCTCCCCGTAGAGGTACACACCCATGGCCTGCGGGCACAGAGGCCAGAGCACATTAGAGAAAGGAATTAGGCGTCCAGCACACAAACGTGTTGGTCTGGAAATTATAAAGACCCTAGAAAAGACACAGACAGTTGGTTAGTTGTACTTCTGGAATGTCCAGTTTTCAACCCAGTCTTTCCCTTATTCTCATCAAAACCCCAACGAATTCTTAGCTATCAATGGACTGTGGTGATTTCACTGGTGACAGAGTGACAAAGTGAGCATTTCCACAGTGACAATGGTGTCAGGATGCTGTGGACAGAGACAGAGTTTCCATTATGACCACTATGGAGAACCCATGTGCAGACAGGCACACGGGGCTGCTTCCCAGAAAGGTGTGTTCCTGGGGTCCCCCTAGGAGGAGCAAGTCCACCCGCTAGTAGGCAAAAAGGAGGTAACGGCACACAGCAGCTGCCCACGCAGGAGGGCGCATGCACCACCCAACAAAGACGCCTGTCCCTGCAACCCCACCTGACCCCTCGCCCTCAACTAGCCCCACAACTGCAGCCGACACTGGCCTTTCTGTTTGGAGAACAATGCTGCAAAGACACACATCTGCGCTTTTCCTACATTTTTAAAACAGCCAGTGCTGTTCTGGAAGACCAAAGGACCCCTGGGTTCCATCTGCTCTCTTGCTCGAGCTTAGTCATGCCACGAATTACATTCTGCTGGAGCAAATTAAAAGAAGGATCTCAAAGATAGCACAAGATAAAAACTCAGTAGTTAAGGGTTCAAAGTGCTTTCCCAAAAAAGCTGAGACACAGTGATTCTTATCTGGCAAAGATCATGGCTCTAAATATAGAGCAGTGAATTTTGGTCTTCGGAATAGACCTAAAGTCGCTCTTAAATTCTGTCCTTCTTATACTCCCATATGTTTTTCCAAACACCTCTTGCTCCACTGTGCAAATGTGACATTTCTTCTGGTACAAAGCCGAGTCCTTTTCTTTGTGAGAATAACGAGGCCTGAGGCGCTGCTGGCTGGCTGCCCCCCACGCTGAGACCCCATCAAAAGTCCTTTTGTTTGCTCCACCCCACCAGCCACCCCAACCGAAATGCAGCTCCGCCCCACCAGCCTGCGGCGCTGGGCAGACGGCTCGTTCTGAGGCACATGCTGGTGGAGGCAGGGAGGCTGCGACGTGTCACAGGAGACACCCCGAGTGGTGACCCCGATGCACACTGAAGATGTGAGAGACAGCCAACAAGGACATCCCCAGATGTGTTCGTGCACATCTACTTCCTGTGGGCGCCTAGGAAGGCGGCCACTTCCCTTGGTAAACAGTGGGAAAGGTCCTCACAGGAGGGAAATTCGGTGCGCGCTGGGCCTGGCGCTGCAGGTGCAGACGCAGAGCAGACTGCTTCGGCCCGTCGGGGCTCTCCCCGCCTAAGCCGCACGTGTGCTCTCAGTGAGGGCTCCTGGGGACGTGGCTGTACACCGCGGCGTCACTAAGCCGCAGCTGTGGCCTGGGAGAGTCCCGAGATGTGGTGAAGCCTGAGCATGCTTCATCCGACGACAGCGTGGCCACAGCTAAGGAAAGCCCAGGGAGCCTTTAGGGGGCGTAACTCGCTGCTTTAAAGGGACACCAAGAGTGGGGGGAAAACCAGCTCAAAAGTGCAAGATCCTACTTAAAAAATCTCTGGAAAATATATAATTATTTGTTATGAAAAGGACGTCAAGAACTTGGGTTCCTGTGTGGTCCCCGACAGGTAGGGCACAACATTTAAAGAATCCCCATCTGCTAAAGAATGAAACTTACCTGGTCCTCCTGGAGGAATCTCTCCACACTGCTGTATGCTGTTGTGTACCTGTGCTTGACGATGAGCTCACACCACCGGTGGCGAACCTTGAGGACGAGAGGAAATCCAGTAAGCAACCAGCTGGTAGGTTCTCCAGCCTTGTAAGTTTCATGATAAAGAGACTTCTGCGTTACAAAATTACTCTGAGTGTATTAGCACCATTGGCACTTTTAGTTTTAAATTTCATTTTTAAAGAAAGGAACAACATTCCTAATTATGAGGGCTGCCTGTCAATTTTAGGTAGGGGAAAATGCATGTTTCAGTTAGGTGTTCCCTATTTCAAACTCGATGTTCCAAGATAACAGACACGAAATGCAAAACATAACTAGGAAATTCGAGGCGCATCCTGACAGGCTGCTGGTGCTGTTCCCCTGCAGTGTGCTGTCAACAAGGCTCTCTTTGAAGCCACGGCCACTTAGTTTCCTCTAATAGTAGATTTGCTCCAGTGCTGCCGATTGTAACAAGAGACACAGTAAGGGGGAAGATGCTGCTTTCTGAACCCCCTAGAAGAGGCAAAGCAGAGCCCTGTCTGAGAGTTTGGGGAAGGAGCAACTGCAGGACATCCTTGATGTGGGGGGGTTCCTGTTGTGCGACCACGTGCATGTAGGTTTGCGTAACATACTGAAAACAGGCAAGCGAACAGTGGATGCCATTCTTTTTTTATTTTTTGAGACAGAGTCTCACTGTGTTGCCTGGGCTAGAGTGAGTGCCGTGGCGTCATCCTAGCTCACAGCAACCTCAAACTCCTGGG